CAATTAAGGTGCTTTATGTCATCCGTTAGATATATTCTCTCATGATCATGATTTTGCGTGACAAAGTAAGATAATCACTGCAAAAAAATCTTTGATCTCGATACACACATGAGTGTATGCAGTTTCGCAATTGAGTCGTTAATTTGGATTACCGCGCGTTTCTGATGCTACGTGAGCTATAACTGGCCTTCTTGGTAAATTACGTGCCTACTCAAGGCACTTATATTTTAAGTTTTCATATAACTTTGACAAGTAACACCTTGCACGATTCTTCCCTCGCGATAGTGATGCAGAACAGATTATAAAAATTTAAAAAAATTCGGAATTTATTACGATTAAGCATAAAATTGCATAAAATAATTGCTTAATATGCATATATGATCGACTAGATAAAGCTTAAACAATTTGAACATTAACTGTATTAGATTAATTTTCATAGTAAAAGATAATATTAAAATTCTCTTCGTGGAAAAATTTACCTTGTAATATTGATGGTGAGATCAATTTTGACCGAGCGTGATGGATGAATCTAATCATATAGTAGGTACTTCAGCAAATTCCAAATTTCAGAATCTTCTTGTAGATATATATACAACCCACGAAATATATAAAATTAATTTAAGAGAGCTACATATTATAGCCGGCTTCAGAAAATATTGCATAACAAAATTCCTGAGTGACAGAATTTCACCGAATAGCTTGGGGTAATGGACGTCTCGTGAATCATCGTGGCATCTTTTGCCGAATGTAAACCAAATTCCACGCGACCACACAAATAGTCACCAATTTTAGGGCACTTGATTTTAACGAAACATTGCAGTGAATCACCGATACTTTCGAGGTGACATGTAACTTCCACTTATTTGCCACCAAATATTTGCATCGCGCCAGCTGTATGCGAAATTTTAAGTATTGGCAATTTGTCAAACTTATCATTCTCTTTCGATGATACCTCTCAAATTCTCGTGCATGTAACATTTTCGAAGCTACATTACCCGAATCAAATATGCGTCAACTGTTCAAAATTTATTACAAATTTTCCAAGTAATTACAACTAGTCTTCAAAAGATTTTAATAGCTTCTCTAATTTAAGATATTTCTATGTTGCGTTCAACGTTAAAATCAGGAAAAGATTAGAAAGAGTTTATCTGGGAAAATTGTTCATCCCGTAAATATCCTGATAAAAAAATTAAAATTATTCTAAACAATAATAAAAATATTTCCAATATAGTATCTATGATTGCATATGAAGATCTGATACAGGAATGACAACTCCAATTCATGTTAAGTTTCTGTAATGAATAATTTTCAATTTTTTATATCTCAATTTTAAATATTATTTTTATTAATCCTATTTTATTATGTTAATATTTCTATAGTTTTTTTTTATTTTTTTACCGTTATTAATAACTTTTTAATTTATTTAAGAAATCCAGCATATAATTTTTTCAGTTTTATAAGCTATAGTTATTTCTTAAAGTAGAACAATTACTTAGCTACGTTGTATTTTCAGTATCAAAAAACAATACAACGGTCTCACCGATATCTGATGCTATCACGAAACGCGGAAGTTGTTATAATTGCATTTGCGACACCAGAGTCAGTGTGGACGCAATTAATGTATATCACAAATATTAAATGACAATTAGATAGGTCGTTTTGATGACCGTTGCATTATTCTCTCACGATTAATATCCGCGATATAAATAAGATTGAGATCAGCCGAGCATAAGAGGATTCAGTTCTTACCCGCGCAGAACCGATGTAGTTTTAACCAGTAACGTACTTGTCAGCATCAGTTTAATCCGGTAAGGTATTTGAGAATGGCGTCATGGTGTCTGACGGCAGTAAAATGATGAATGTATAGCATACTCGATAACTAAACGATACACACCGATGTGAATGCTGATGTAATTATACCCATGCCTCGTACGAGTACACAAAAACGTACGCTTGTACCTATTGTTAATCATTCTTCTCGTTAGCTCGAATTTACGTCAAACTGATGTATGTCGAAGACATGAGAAGATATTGGTTATTGATCAAAGATATGGGATAATTAAAGTGTTAAAACTGGTACAGCTAGGCCACTAAAAATAAAATTTAAAAAAACTGCCACAGTAGAGGTTCAAAATTTTTTGTTATTCAAACAATTCGCACTAAATTTAGATCTCTTACTGCGCTTTTATTAAAATATTTTCATTTTCATGAGAAAGAAAAAAACTCGCGTTTTTGCAGAAACAACAAGTGTCCGCAGATAATGCCCTCTCTTCTATTGGATAAAAATTTCTGCCAACTTTGTGGATACACATACAATATGACGAATCTAATCTCCTATGGGAAAAGAGGGAAAACTGTCGATGAACATGTTTTCCTCGGCCCTGATCTATCACAGCAAAACTTTAAATTGAATTATTATCGACAGATAATAATAAAGTGTCTTGATTCTCTACCTAACGAGATTCGCGTTACTTTCTATAAGAATTTGACCTCGTTTTTGATGTACATATATTCCATACATTGCAGAAATGTAATAAACATGTAAGAGAAGTCTCATTTTTTACAAGCTTTTAGACTTTTAGAATTAACTACTAAGTCAAATGGTATGTGTCATGCGAATTTAACTTTGAAATTACAATGGACTTCTCTTGATAAGGAAAATTTGCACGAAGTCATGTCGCGTCTGTTGCGTTTGTTTTCGTACCAAAAAAATTTTTTTAATTATCTTGCATTGCATTCATGTAATTAATTTATAATAACCTTGACTTCGTTTAATAATTAATTAAAGAGCAAAATTTCATAAATAATAATGCATCCTCCTGCAATTATACCTCATTAAAAGTATTTTTAGCTTTAAACAACATAATTTTCGTATATACATACACAGAATCGTCCACGCTAGCTGCGTAAATATTCAGCAAGTCGATTGTATACTGACAGCCGTCGTACTCTATATTGTTTCTATGACAGATCTATGTCATGCCTGCGAACATCTTCCGACAGAATCTCTAATTACGCGATAATCTACTTCTGCTTACGTAAAAAAAGTTTATTGCATATTCTTCATTTACTTCAAAATATAAAGATATTATTAATTCGGCTAAATAATCGAAAGTTAAATTACATACTTTAATGCAAATTTAGGAAATAAATTTTTAACTAAGTAATATTTGCTTTTAACTAAATGATATTTGTTCAATACACAAGTGATATCGAAAGATTATCAAAAGACATTTCACAATGAATATGGTACATCTGAAATTCATCGCGCAGTGGTATAAACATAAAAATCCGTGCTAGGCTCACCTCTGTTCATATTAACGAAATCAGCACTTCCGTAACATTCGCGTTAATGTAAGCTCGTTAAAAGGATGTTAAAAAAGAAGGCACATCCACCGCTTATATCATTTTGACGCTGCACGACCATGGATTTGATTATCGGTCGCACACGCCTGGCAGTAAACTGTCGTTAGCGTAATACAATGACGTTACTGATACGACCTGTGTGTGTGCGTGTTCTCAGGTATTTTTTTATGTTTTCAGTCGTAGTACCGACGCAATGAATGTATTTATCTATTACTTATAAATTCTTTTATTGCGCATTTTACTATTAAATTCGTTATCAATTATTTTTTTTATTTTTTTTATTAAAAACAGATATTTTGTAAGAACATGAATGTAAATTTTTTACATGTACCAAGTTGAAAATGCAATTATTTGAATAAATTAGTTAGAGAAAATTTTTAATTCTCTCACAAAATGAGACTTCTCTTACATGTTTATAACAAACAAAATATTCTTAATCCGTAACAAATGACGATAGTGTTACTTAACGTATTCCGCATTAAATGTGTTTTCTAGCGGCACTTTTTTATGCTCTTTGCTCTTAAAGTAAAATATGTTACGTATATTCGCGCTTTGAAAAGAGAAAAAAGGATAAAAATGGATTAGATATAAGTCAGAAAAACAAACCTATTATCTGGCATTCGCCACAATAATTTTTGCTTAATGCATGAATTAGTAATTTATAGCCTCTTTGATACATCAAACAAATGATGCGTACAATTGCGCACATAAGACGATTATTGAGCACTTATCATTATTTAATTCATTAACTACTTATTTAGCAGAAAAATTACCATTAATCGACAGATAAGAGGACAGTAATCTCTGGTAATCTCTGATAACATCTGGAATTCCTTTTCCGTTTTGATATCGTATGTTGTACAACAATATTTGAATTAATACAACACCTGCTTCGGAAGTCTCAAGTTCAGAACTAGAACTATCAAACTTATTTTAAAATTTTTATGCATCAAACGTATAAATTTATGAAAAATAGTAGTCTCTATTTTTTCTCCTATATTTAATTAACTCATTAGCTCGATGACAAAATAAACTAAATTATGTTTAAATTCTACATTAAAATATTTATTTAGTCTTACAACTGTTGTCGTTATTAAAGCTACTTGTTTATCTGTATATCGTTACTAAAAAATAACAAAATTAATGTAAATAACAAATCAAATTAATTTTGATAAGAGATAATTAATAAGAAATTTTAATTGGTGATTTATTATCACCTTATCAGAGAAACTAAATGTCTCTTCCACCACCCCTAATGCAATTTCTCTGTTGAGGTTCACTAATGCGGTTTAGTGACTTATTCAATTTTACGACAGAACAATAAAATGTGACACGTTGTAAAACGTTTCGCAAAAGCCACATAAAGGATTCGACCACAGAAAGATCGGTATTGCATCACTTGCTGCCAGCGCAGCTTATTAGTGAGAACAACAGCAAATAATAACTCTGTAAAAAGAACAGTCTAATAATCTTTCCGTGAATCTACTTCCTTCCAGCATAAATTTCGAAGTGTAATAGTTTTTTTTGATAACGTATCTTTTCAAGAGCGCCACTGCCAGTATATAGACGTATATCAGTATAGACGTAAGCGTCAGGCATTGACAGTTCTTTACGTATATATAATGCCGGAACCAGTGAAAAAGTTGGTAGTCGCTCGCGATCACACGGCCGTTCTTTCATGACTCGTGCGATAACAATGTTGACTAAATTGTCTTGCAAATTTATTTTCAGCATAATTTAAAATAAAATTTAGTGCGCATATTTTCGAAAAACTGACGATTTTCGACAGATAGATTTCTAAAGTGCGAAAATTTGACTGATTTAAGTAACGCTATCATTACTGAAGTGATTCTTGTGTAAATTTAAAGTAGTGGCAAGAGAAGTAAGTTTTCTTGGGATTTTCAACAAAAGTTTATCTTTTTTCGTATGCTAAGGTATTTGTGGTTGTATGCATTTAAATGATTTAACTCTCAACGTTTTACTCCTGCTTTACCACGAAATTTCTTTGTTAAGTTTCATTGTTCGTAAGTTTTGTTTTTGCACACATGCATATACTACTAATCCACCCATATGCTCACAAAGTGCTTCTCTCTACACCACTCTGCTGTATTAAGAAGCGTCAAAGAATTTCAAAACGCGAATGAACCACCGTGGTGACCTTGACGTCTTCTCGTCATGAGTGCTCCGCATTTCTGCTCGCTGCATTCTACGAAGCGCGATGAAAATCGCTCGTTTCTCTTGAAAGCGCGTTCCTTTTTTTTCTCTCTCTCTTTTTTCCCCGTTTCTACCAGAGCATGTCGAGGATCGAAGTTTACGAAACGCGCACGCAGCCGCCCACGCAAACTCAAAAGCTCGATGAGCGCACGTTCTTGCGTGCTTACGGACACGCATCGTCAGACGTTATTAATTTGAATAGCTATTAATTTGAATAGCATTACACTAATTAAAAAAATTTTCACACAATTAATTAAAAATTAAAAAAGGTAAGTAGATAGTTTTTTTTCTTAAAGTGAATAAGTTTTTTAATATGAGTATAAAAATTGTTACAAAAATGTCAATATTGATAAAATTTTGACTTATAAATGATTTAAGTTTCTGCAGATTAAATAAAATAAAATAAATAATTAATATTTAATTGTAGTTATCACCAAAATAAAATTAAATATTTAGAATTCTTTAAATAGAATTAAAAATTTTCTTTTTAGATAAAAGAAAAAGTATGTTAGAGAGTGCGTTAAAATCTAATAAAAGTTGTTTCTCCTATAATTTTGTTTTTTACTTTACTTGTTAAATACAATAAAACTTTTGCATAAACCTAATTTTTCTGTTAAGTATTAATATATCGTATAACTTCATAATCATACACAGAGCATGCATGTATGTATGTATGCCGAGCATGTGAGTGCGCGTGGGTGCGCATGTGTGAGCGGCTGAGAGAAGGGAAATTCGACGCATGCTTCCTTCCTTAATGTCCGCACTCGAGGGGTTTTGAACTACGGGGTTCAAGTTTTTGCGACACTCAGTATCTCGCGTTAGATCCTCGCGGATGGTGTCAGTAACGTTTCGCGCATCGCAAATCGCGGGTGATTGTTAAATTTCCATCATCATAAATATTTCAACCGAATCTTCTGTCGTGAGTTTTCATTAAATTTTATTCTTTCTTGTGATTTTAATGTGATTTTATCAACCATTTTATCTTTACATTTATAATAATTTAGTTCACTTAGTGTTTCATAAAACGTGATTAATAAATAAATCAAATTCCATAAATCTTTAATACCGATCGCTCAAATCAATTTATCTTGGAACCTGTGCAGATTAATTTACTCAAGTTTTTCCTACGAAACTGCATAATTAATAAAAAATGCTCGAATCTGCCAATTTTTGTATGCGCGTTATAAATATACTTTTAAATTTCTGAAGCATCTGTTCATATATATTTTATATTCATGTATAAATTCATCTTCTTCAAAGCAACATGTGATATATTTTATAAAATAATTATATGTGTTCAAAACAGTAACTGTAGCAATATATAATATAGAATTTTTCAATATTTTTGTATCATAAAAGAAATTGCATATTATATTTATTGTTTAGACACATTCGAATAAATTTGTTGATTGCAATCGAAATTTTTATCAAATTTTTATCGATTCCAACAATATGATCGTAAATGATAAATTAATCAACCTGACAAGCTGAAATATTTTCGAAATATATGCATTATATGCAGTATTAGTTTTAAATCTATTTAATTATCGATATCTTTATTTATAAGAGAGTTCAATTATTCTGTGCTTGACAACGATACACATCGAAAACACGTTATCGATTGTCTCATTTCGGATAGATTGATCTAAGCATACCGAGAAAAGATGCAAAACTGACATATTATTTTGATTGATTATTCGTTCGCTTGTCGCGTAAGCGAGATAAATCGATGACCGTCTTGTTCCACACAGAATTGATAAGAAGAATAACAGTCAACGATAGACACTGTTCATGGTCATTGTCCTGATGTTGTTTTTATCGAGAAGAAACACAAAAAATCGCGATTGTCAAAAGGCAAAAGCCCCGAAGGCGCCAAAAACTGTGCCTAGATTTATTTATCTTGGCATTGCATGATGCATTTACGGGCCGGAAACGACACAGATGAATCGCGCATATAAATCGCCGCGAGGGTTCATCATTGATTTTGAGTTAATGCATATTGAACGTGTTTTCTATTTCATTGACCCGTAATTAGAAAATAAATAAAGTACAATCTAAATAGTATCAAAAATTAGATGAATTTGAACACTTTGTTAGTTGTATTGGAAACAAAAATATCGGAATTGGAATAATGTAAAATTATACAATATCTTTCTTGCTTTTTTGTCTTGACAATAAAATTAAAAAATTTAAACATTTCCATTTCTAGGAAATATGTAACTTCAACGTTAAAAAGGAGAAAAGAAGTTTTTTTACATCTAATTATTTTTAATTGGACTTTACATCATCAAGAATTCAACTTGTTGTTAAATTATTAAATGTTTTGATGTTAAAGTTTAAAAATTGTTACAAATAAGTATTGCTAGGAAAAAATTAATCTCAATTTCATTAAAATACATGAAAATACGATCTTTATATGAAATATAATGCTAATATATATTAAATGGAAAAATTGCTATTTTTGTTCAACCATTAAAATTATCCAAAGCATGACAAATTTTAATAAATTCAAACACGTACAATTTTATCTTATCAAAATTCTTCTTACGCATTTTTGAATCAGTTCTAGTAATCTTAAAAAAAAAACAGTATTATCTCTTGAGCAATATATTTTCTCAGGTTATCTTATTATATTATTTCACGTTGTTGCGTAGATGAGACGTACATACGACGCCGGCGCGCGGCAAGCAACACGCGGCGCCTACCGTATATGGCGTACAGTCTTAGCCAAAATTGCGAGATTTATCTTAAAGTGGACATTTCTTTTCTAATAAGCCAAAGAATAAACCAATATTACCTAATAATGTTGCTGCTTGGAATGCCCAAATCATTTCACATGGTTGGTTCTCTCTTTGCAGCTCTACCTGGGCATAAAATGACAAATTTTAGCATATCAAAATTTTCTCAATTTTCACCGAAAACGGCCGTGATTCTTCGATGTATTTTAAGCCAAGAAACTAAATTTATATGTTAAGTATTGCTGCTTTTTTTACTAAACAGTCTATTCCTCATATTGATCATCTACTGATTTTGTGTTGAGAAATGTTTTTCGCAAACTTTTGGAAGAGATTGTACAAAATATAAATGTTGTACAATCCTGTAAATGAGTACTCTATCTTAACATATAGGCTTTCCTCCATGTGAACTGAATCCCACTTCCCAATAGATCCATTGAAGTTCGGGCTCGTTGCTGGATGATCAAAAATCATGAAGTCATAATCCTGAAAAATTTTTTTGTCAAGGCAATAAATTATGTACAATTTTATCATTTTATAGATAGAAAAGAAACATTTACCTTCAATTTTTTGCATAAAAGCTACAATTTGTGGAGCAAGAATTGCATTGACGTATCAGACATGGAGAAGAGAATATCACTAAAAGAGTTTGTGCGTTTAACTCCTGCCCGAACAACAGTAATAATAAACAATATGTCATTAATGGAGTACATGACATGGAGTTGTCATGACAACGAATATAGTTACATCACATCGATGCTAGACACGAAAAGACTTCTCTATTGTTAGCAAAAGCGAGAAAATAGCAAATTTTTATTTATTTATTGTGTATTAACGTACCGTCAATTTAATATTTATATGGTTTTTTTGACATTGGTTTCAATGTTGTCGATGTTTAAGTCTTTCTGACCTTTCTGACTTTCTTGCACGTAACTGCTAAATGTTTATTTAAAAAAAACAATAAAATAACTTTATAAAGTAAATAGATAAACTTATCTGTCGAACTTGGTTCTGAATAGACTGTTTATAATTCTGGATATAATTGACAGCCCATACAGACGATAGCCATATAGGCTACAGTCTATAGACTTTCTACCATCATGTTCGGAGTTTCTATTTAACCCTTAGTCCCGACGGTTCTTTTCGGCACCTTTAATCCCGACTCATGGGTCGTTTGCGTCTTTACGTTATTTGGATCAGTAAAAACGCTTTAAAAAATCTGAAAAAATTCATGGAGCTTCTTTCAACCTTTAACTTGAAGTCCCAATCATAATATTTCGATAAAAATTATTTTTTTATATAGTTTATATGGCGCGTTCCGTACCCGTTTTCAAAAATTACAGCACTTTGAGATTTCGCTTGGGTCGAAAACGACCCATGATCGGGACTAAGGGTTAATATCTACCTAAATTTTGAAACTAGTTCTACCCGACTTCTACCTGGTAGAATGTCTATAGACTGTAGCCTATAGACTATCATCTGTATGGGCTTCCAATTACATTCACAAAACCGAGTTCGACAGATAAGTTTATCTATTTACTTTATAAAGTTATTTTATTGTTTTTTTTTAAATAAACATTTAGCAGTTACGTGCAAGAAAGTCAGAAAGGTCAGAAAGACTTAAACATCGACAACATTGAAACCAATGTCAAAAAAACCATATAAATATTAAATTGACGGTACGTTAATACACAATAAATAAATAAAAATTTGCTATTTTCTCGCTTTTGCTAACAATAGAGAAGTCTTTTCGTGCTAGCATCGATGTGATGTAACCATATTCGTTGTCATGACAACTCCATGTCATGTACTTCATTAATGACATATTGTTTATTATTACTGTTGTTCGGGCAAGAATTAAACGCACAAACTTAGTGATATTCTCTTCTCCATGTCTGACAGCATCCGATACGTCAATGAAATTCTTGCTCCACAAATTGTAGCTTTCATGCAAAAAATTGAAGGTAAATGTTTCTTTTCTATCTATAAAATGATAAAATTGTACATAATTTATTGCCCTGACAAAAAAATTTTTCAGGATTATGACTTCATGATTTTTGATCATCCAGCAACGAGCCCGAACTTCAATGGATCTATTAGGAAGTGAGATTCAGTTCACATGGAGGAAAGCCTATATGTTAAGAATGTATACTCATTTACAGGATGGTACAACATTTATATTTTGTACAATCTCTTCCAAAAGTTTGCGAAAAACATTTCTCAACACAAAATCAGTAGATGATCAATATGAGGAATAGACTGTTTAGTAAAAAAGCAGCAATACTTAACATATAAATTTAGTTTCTTGGCTTAAAATACATCGAAGAATCACGGCCGTTTTCGGTGAAAATTGAGAAAATTTTGATATGCTAAAATTTGTCATTTTATGCCCAGGTAGAGCTGCAAAGAGAGAACCAACCATGTGAAATGATTTGGGCATTCCAAGCAGCAACATTATTAGGTAATATTGGTTTATTCTTTGGCTTATTAGAAAAGAAATGTTCACTTTAAGATAAATCTCGCAATTTTGGCTAAGACTGTACGCCATATACGGCATGCCATATACGCTTGCCGCGCGCCAGTGCACAGTGGGGCCAAACGACATTTCGTGTTTCAAAAAAGGCTACAGTCCCGAAATGTTAACCGATTTCGATGCTTTTTTTTAAATGAAAGCTAACAAAATTTGCAATAACTTTAACAAAAAATATTTACTGTTGAAGAGTTACTTACTGTTCAGTCATTATATTTTACAAATTTAATTTCTTTATGTATAATTTAATAATAAAAAAAAAACAGGAAACAAAAATCTATCTCCACAAAGTTATTGCAAATTTTGTTAGCTTTCATTTAAACAAAAAGCATCGAAATCGGTTAACATTTCGAGACTGTAGCCTTTTTTGAAACACGAAATGTCGTTTGGCCCCACTGTGCGACGTCAGCAAACATTCGAAGGTGCGTCTCTCTTCGATAGATTCTCTCTTAGAAACCTTCCCTTATTAAATTACTCACATCAGCGTAGTACTCGACCTCGTAAAAAGTATCGATCAGGTTGCATCGAGAGCGAGATAAGCGAGTAATTTGTTTCCATGCCTTATAATTAAAAACATGATAGGTCTGTATTCTTTTTTTAAGAATGTGAACTTTTTCGGTAATGTAAAAGACAAAAATGAAAACAATATTTTGATTTCGAAAACATAATTTCATTCGCTTTTTTCTGGATAATACGTCGATCTGATTGTGATTTATAACAAATTTATCCCAAACGCCCACAATAAATATATATCATTTCTCTTATGATAATACATAATAGATAAGTAGCATCATTAATTAAGATGTAATAGCAAAACTCACCATTTAATCGAATATCACTCGATAATAGCTGCATATCGGTGTTGAGTCATATGTCGTGTTCTGAAAATTAAAACATACATAATATTAGTCTCCATAATACTTTATATTATGCATAATGCAAATATACAGTATATTATATAAACACACATACATGTACATACATAAAAATATTTATATAATCGGAGAAGTTATTTATAAACAAATTAACACAATCACGTTACAAATATTGTCGTTCCAGCCACTTACAATTCGATCTGTAATCCAGACAACACCCAAGTCTTAAAGACGTTCAAAAGATAGCATTTTTTTCTTTTGGACGTCTTTCAGCTGCCTTTAAAGCTTGTGGGTTATCTGGGTAACTTAGCACTTAACTGTTCGCTTGAAAAGATAACGCCTTGCATCATGTAAGAGCATTTAAAAAATGAATGAAATATCGTTTATAAATTATGATTTTTAGATACGCCGAAATGGAGAATCGTTCTCAGGGGAAGATATCGGATGACGATGTGATTGGGCAGCACAATAGCAAAAGACCCTCAATGTTAAGTGTGAGTGGATTGTGGGACGTAGTTCCACGACTGGATCATTACAGGTATACATATATTTATAAAATAATTGAACGTAATAATTAAACGTATTATATAATCTATAACATTGATTAAAATAATTTCTTGTTTATACCGAATTTACTAGGATCCATTCTTACAGATTTATGCCATAATCATGATTATTTTGTTTACATTGCTCGAGATAAAACATTATTTCACTCCTGACCACATCTCTCGTATTTTTAAAGAATGCAAACAAACTTTTATTACGATCCAAGTAAACTTGGTATCTATCGTATATTTGGCGATTAACTGATTTAAGAATTAAGAGTTATAATTTATAACAATAATTAAACAGTAATTAATCTTTCTAATTCTGTTATATCTACTTTATTCTTTAAATATTGTGAAATTTTTTGTTTAATTATTCTAATCTTTTTCATGAGATTTCTCATACTTCAATCTGTCATCTTATGCGTTTTTGTATAAAAATATAACGATATTTCCAATATTTGATTCATTTAAAATGCAATATTGAAAAACCATTAACTTTTTCTGCATGACCTAGATATTAGTAAATCATTAACGCATATTTATCTGAAAAAGATTTAGTGAAATTGATAAACGACAAATTTTAATTATTTTATCATCAATCTTTTTTACAGATTAAGTCGTCGCGCGAAAAGACCATCTCTAAGTGCTTTACACGAGGGAAATCTTGTAAAGGTGAGAAAATTAATATGTATTTAAAATATTTTGTCGTGCAAAAAATAAATTAAATATTAAAATTTTATATAACATGTTTAAAAATCTGGAAATATGTTAAAAACAAAATTTATTATCTGATAACTAATAAATACGATCGATCTTTGATTAATACACGCATACTTTTAGATAAACATTGCAGATACTATATTAAGAATCATTTCTGTTCTTTATTTTGTCCTGTTTGATGTAGATTAATCTGCATTATTATATATATATATTATTCTACATTCACTTTCTGTTGAGTATCTTATTCGATATGTCAACATTTTATCCCTCTTTTATTTATTGTTCTGCTTGTATCTTATGTTTTCGCATTTATTTGACACGCAATTTCGTAATAATATAAAGTATGTTCTTTTGTGATAATAACATTCTTCGACCAACCTATCAGATGTTTCACATTTTTTTAATAAATATGATTGATAAAAAAATGCACTGTGTTAAAATACGATAAACAAATATTAGACCTTGTTAATATAAATATTAATAGTAATAGCAGATAAACAATGTTATCACTTGAATTGATAAATGTATTTTTAAATTGCAAGTTTTCTACGGAAATTTTCTCTTATAATTTTTATTTAAAGACGTATATATAGATTCCTTAATCTTAATCGCAATAATCAGCTATGATATAGCTTATCGGTCGTACGTACTTGAATATTTATCGATTTTTGTTTATCAAAGAACATATTTAGAATTTCACGACACGTTTAGAAAGTTCATTTTTTTGATATCTAATTATTAAATGTGCAACATCATTACAAATTATATTTTTATTTTTTCTGGAAGTGTACTAAAATTTATTTTATGTTTTATATGCCTAGAAATTGATTTTTAAATAAAGCTTTTATTGTAGGTAGATAAAAATTGGATTTTTTTATAAGATAATATTTTTAAAAAATATTTTAAGTAATCTATGTAAAATACAATGATTATCTAACTTTTGCGTCATATCAAAGATAAGAGAATCATTACACACTATGATTTCTTCCTTATTTCAAAGAAAATCGAACTTATATTCAAATAACAAAACCAGACAAAAGAAAACTAATTTGTTTAGTGCACATAGCAGTAAACATTTGTCTAATAAAATTTTAAAAATGCCATGTAGATACAATTTTTTAAAACATTTAGAAAATTACAGATCTCAAATATCTTGAATGTATCAAATATTATAGTTCTTTTTTTAATAAAAAAAATATGAGAAAAAATGCAAATAAAAATTTTTTTACACTAAAGAAATATTATACACTTTGTTTCACAATATTCTCTATATAAAAAATCCGATATGCATTTTTCTACATAAAAATTTGGAAATCAAATATTTTTTCATTGTAAACTAATATCAATAGATATGATATAAACAAACATTTAATCACTGTATTTTATCGTCACGGAAATCTGCACTACGACTTTTTCGAGAGTACTTACTACTGATTGAACGATTATATCATTCGATAAAGATAAAGAAATTGAAAAATAGAAGAAAAAAACTTGATAATGTATTTGCTGCATGCGTTATAACCGAAGAGAAATGATTAAATTATAAACATAATGACAATATGAATAAAATATAGACTACAGTAAAAAAACTTTAAAAAATAAAATCAAAATATTAGCTTTTAATCTTCAATTAACGCAAATTAGTCCTGTTGTTAAATATTTCTATGTAATATAGCTACACGATGCTGATAATAAATTTTTTAGTGTTGATATAGTTTTATTTAAAATAATTATCGTAAGTTATTCGTATCTCTAAAATATAGAAAGCATGTTTCATAGCTAAGCTTGTATATAACTAACTAAAATTTGATATTGACTTTTAGAAGCAAGAGACAGAAATTAAATCGCAGTTCTCAGCGAAAATTACAACATAAACATTAAATTAAACTGTCATCAATATTAATCAAACTTGCCTGATGTAGTTTAAAGTAAAGAGTATTAATATTAAATAATAATATAATACAGAGGCTGTTAATTAAAATAATTTTTGTAATTTCTAAATATTTGCAATCAATCGAGTTTCAACAACTACGTCTCTTTGTTGTTATCAAAACTATGTAAATTGATATATTATTTGACATTGCGCTTTGACCGATATCGAATTGCGCTGCGCAGACGGCGTGTAATCGCCTCTAAATAAATACCATTTCAGGAGGCCAACGCTGTCGAGACCGGACAGGTCGGGAGTGCAGTCGGTCAGCAGGGTCACAGCGGAATAAAATTAGGATGGATCCAAGGCGTCCTCATACCGTGCCTGCTAAACATATGGGGCGTAATGCTTTTTCTGCGACTCTCATGGGTAGTCGCGCAGGCCGGCATTCTGATAACCATTGGCATTATCGGAGTATCGGCGATCGTCTGCGTCATTACGACGCTTAGTCTCAGCGCAATTAGCACTAATGGGGAAGTAAAGGGAGGTGTGTTACGGTAACGCATTCTGTAATTCTTTTTTTCCGAAGGAGTGGCATCATGCGCGCCATCGCTTTGTCCCTCAATATACGATTGTCGTTAGACACGTTTTTCTCAGAAGAGTTTCCTCAGGGATGTTTATTCAATTTAATCGTAGCAATTTGTCTTGTCAATCGTGATAGGCGAGCGGGGATGTGTTTATTCAACTTCTAAATTTAGTCCCCTTTTCTTGTTTGTCAAATGGATTACAATTTATGCGACGCAATATCGATGACTCTGATCGGAGATAGAAAAGTTTCATCTAAGCCGTTGAGAATTTTAACATTTGGAAATGTTTAAGGAATAAAATCAATTGATCCACAGGAGGGATATACTTCATTATATCTCGCACTCTTGGACCGGAGTTTGGCGCATCGGTTGGCATTGTGTTTGCATTTGCGAATGCTGTGGCAGCTTCCATGAACACAATCGGTTTTTGTGATTCTTTAAACGACTTGCTGAAGACATACGATTTAAAAATCATAGATAATGGCGTGAATGACGTTCGGATCGTCGGTATAATAGCGCTTATCATTATGATATTAATCTGTGCAGTCGGCATGGAGTGGGAATCAAAGGTATTAAATTTTGTTTGTTTCGAAAAATATATGCATATTAAACTTTTGATGTAAATAGCAAAAGTTTTAAATGTAATATTTATTTTAATTTATCCATATTTATATGTGCGATTTAATACAGTCTATGCTTTTATTATTATTAGGCACAAAATTTTCTTATAGCTGTCATTGTGGGCGCAATTTTTGATTTTCTAATTGGAACCATCATAGGACCATCTAGTGAAGAACAGAAAGCGAAAGGATTTATAGGGTTCTCCAGTAAGTATGATGTGTGTAATTATTACGTGACGATGTTAAAGATTTTTGTCCTATTCGTCAAATAAAAAAAAGACAGATTTGCAGGGTTTCAAATAAATTTTTTTAAACTAAAATAGTCACCACTAACTTCAATACATTTTTTTTACCTGGAAAGTTTTTATACGTCTGAAAAATTCCGAGCTCTTAAAGGGTCTTAGAAATCGATAATTTTATTTATAATAAACTTTCATGAAATGACAAATCTTTTGCATCAACCTAATAAATTGAAAAAAATACATTTATTAAAAATTATTTTAACAAATATAATATTTTTAGTAGATGTATTTAAAAAAAATTTGATGCCAGACTATCGATATTCTGAGGGGAACAATCAAACCACCTTCTCGGTATTTGCTATCTTTTTCCCATCGGTCACTGGAATTCAAGCGGGCGCTAATATATCCGGTGATTTAAAAGATCCAGCGAGCAGCATACCGAAAGGAACTCTACTAGCTCTATTGATCTCCATGCTTAGTTATGTAACTTTCGTTTTTTTTGCTGGCGCCGCGGCTGCCAGAGATGCAGATGGTTTCGTAAACAATACTATCGTAGAATACATCCCCAATATCAATCGCACTTTTGGATTGCACAACAGTTACTCGGTAAGATTTTAAGACACCAATATTTGTAGATATAGTACATTCCGAAACTATTAATCTTCATTTAATTTTAATTAAAACAAATTATTTTGTAACGTTAAAGAACGTAAATAGAATAGATAACAAAACATATGACATTGCATTCTTTAACTAATTAACTAGTATATTTTCAATTAGTAAATTTTATTTTTGCGGAAAATAAAATTTGAAAATTAACTGCTGATTGAAATAAATCCAATATTCACAGCTCATTAAATTTGTATATAGAAAAAAAAATTTTTTAATTTGCAAATTAAAATAAATTAAATTAAATTGTTTTAATTACATTTTATACATTTATTCTTTTTTCAGGTTATGCAATTGATGTCTCTTTGGGGTCCACTAATTTACGCAGGATGTTTCGCGGCTACTCTATCAACAGCGCTGACAAATTTATTGTCAGTGCCGAGACTCATTCAGGCTTTGGGTCAGGATCGAATTTATCCTGGATTAATTTTCTTTAGCAAAGGATATGGGAAGTCTGGAGAACCCTATCGGGGATATTTTCTCACGTTCATCGTTGCGGCTGCATTCCTTTTAATTGGTAAAATGTCAATCTCACATTAAAAGTTAATTAGAAAATATTAAATGTCTGTCGTCATAAATTTATATACGATAAGCTTTCAATCTTTTTTTTCAGCCAATCTCAACGCAGTCGCTCCGCTAATTTCAAACTTCTATTTAGCATCATACGCCTTAATCAACTTCTGTACTTTTCACGCGGCTTTGATTCGGCCACTCGGATGGCGACCCAGTTTTAAAGTAAGCTAGAAATTACTTCATTATTAACTAAATCTTAATTTTAATTCTTAATAAATTTCTTAAATGCTTTTAAAAGTTTTTTCTTAGTATGAGGCTTTATTTAGAGAAAATTTATCAAATTTAAAGGTGATATTTCCCGAGAGTTAAAAGATTTTAAAAAGATAAAGCCTTTTAAACGATTTTTATAAACAAGATAAAAATACAGTTTTATCAATTTCTTCTTTTGTAGTACTATAATACTTGGTTGTCTCTATTCGGATTCATCCTTTGCGTGACAATTATGTTCCTCATCGACTGGACGACTTCACTAATCACTTTCGTCATTATATTCGCGCTATATTTAATAGTAGTGTATCGTAAGCCAGATGTGAATTGGGGAAGCAGTACACAAGCGCAAACTTATAAGACCGCACTTTCTATCGTCTACAGGTATTATCAAAAAAAAAAACGAAATAACGTTTCTTTATACATGGAATCGAATTTCTTGCTTGAAATACTAGATCTAAATTGTTTCTTCAAAGCTGCCATCTTCATATTTTAATTCAAAAATTTTTAAATAAATATGTTTTACATTCTATAATAACTTTCAGATTGAATTCAATTGATGAACATGTGAAGAATTACGCTCCACAAATTTTGGCGCTTACAGGTCCGCCTAATGCGAGACCCGCATTGGTACACTTAGCGAACCTCATTACGAAGAATAACTCTTTGCTTATTTCCGGTGAAATCTTTCCAGTATGTTATCTTGATCTATTTACGATATAATTTTATCTACTGATCGTGATCAATCGTTTATAGAAAATAAAATTTTAATTTCAGGCACAACTACCGTTTCGGTTACGCTCTGTACGTTTAAGGAATGGTTACTCCTGGTTGCATCAGCAACGTATAAAAGCATTCTACCACGTGGTGGAGGATTTGAGTTTGGAACGAGGCGCGGCTGTGTTGATGCAAGCTACCGGAGTAGGTAAACTGGCTCCTAATGTAGTTCTCATGGGTTACAAGACTCATTGGTCGACGTGCAATCATAAAGATTTACAGGAATATTTTAACGTTCTCCAGTAAGTCAACCGATCATTTATCTCTCTTAAAATTGCTTCAAATTATAAACTAAAATTGCAAACATTAAATTAAAAATTTAACATTTTTTTTCTAGTAATGCCTTCGATCATAAGTTGTCCGTGGCAATTTTGAGGATCGCTGATGGTCTAGACAACTCTACTGTCACAAATGCAAATGGAGACGAGGAACATGGAATTTTTGCACAGAGTAGCGATAATTTGGCGGGAAATACTTTGATGCATACCGATAGCAATCTGTCTATGAACATGCAAATTCCCAGAGTACAAAGCGTGCCGACAATAGGTAAAAATTTATATGACATAGAATAAAATTATATCGTTTTTGATCATATCAATTTTCAGTTCTCTAATAATATTTACGCAAAATTGCATCGTTTTATCTTTAAATTACTTTTCAAAGTAATTAATTCTATTTTTGATGAATCTTAATATATTTATTAAACAGAAATTTGTCGTATCACGAATAAATCGTGAAACTATGATTATGTTACAAAATTTTTTAATAAAAATATTCTGCAATATTATTAAGTATGTAATTAAGTATGTAATTTAATATTTTTTCGTAGGTACGACATTTGCCGCACCTATTGATGTGACACATGTGATCAAAGATTCATCGATACATTGGAACGCTCGAGAAAATTTAAAGCAAAAGAAAAAACGTGCTGCTGATAAATTGCTGTAAGTCAAGCAATATAACATAATTTTTACTGCATTAACTATTAATAAAACTTTTTCTTGTCAAATTTTGCAAAGAAACTTTGAGCAGAAGTTATTTCTTATTAAACTTAATTTGTTTTTAATTAACATTAAATATCACTTCAAATTGAAATTAAATTTCTGTCAAAATTTCTTAAAATTAGCTAAGAAATAAAATTAATTTATTTATTAAATTTAAAGTTTTACTCAACACGTCTTTAATTTTTAAAGTTAAATATATTTGCGATTAAATATCTGCTCTTTGTTGAGAAAAAAGATTGATTTCGAAATTGTCAAATTATTCTTCAAACTTGTTGACGATTTATCATTTATTATTTCAGTGAAAAACACAATGGTATGGCTACTATACCAGAGAATTTAACAATTTTCCAACAGAAGCATAAGAAAGGAACAATTGACGTGTGGTGGTTATACGATGATGGAGGTAATTCATAAAAATGTATTTAGGTGGACGATTGGAGTATGTCAACGTAGATATCTTCAATCGTCCACATATAAAACTTGCTGGAATTTCTGGCTCATTTGTAAGTGGAAAAAGTTATTACTCGACAGGTCTGACGATTCTCCTGCCGTATATAATCAGCACGCGCTCTAATTGGGAACACTGTAAAGTGAGGATATTCGCTTTGGCCAACCATAAGCAGGATATCGGTGCGCAAGAAAAAGAGTAAGTAAAGAACAAAATATGAAGTATGTCGCGAAAAGCGTTTAAACATTTTGGTAATTTATCATTTTAAGTGAACGATGCATAAAACTAAATTTTATTCGAAGACTCTATTTTCTATTTATTAATTATTCTATTTATACTAATTTTCGTGCAGAATGGTTGAAATAATGTCAAAGGCTCGAATAAAATACAGTAGTCTAAAAATGGTGGATGACATTAGCGTTGCACCGAAACAAGAAACGCAATCTTTCTTCGACAACTTAATAACAAAATTCCGAAATGATTCTTCTAACAATCCGGGTGAGTTATTAGCATAATCTTGACCCTAATGTTATATACTGATTTAATATTCATGATGATAATTATTATTTCTAGAATCTTGTGTAACTGATCTGGAGCTTAATACTTTACGAGATAAAACAAACCGGCAGTTGCGACTGCGAGAATTATTGTTGGAGAATTCAAGTCAGTCTACCTTGGTAGTTATGTACGTATAATAAATCATTAAGTTCTATAATTATCCCCATTACAAAGCTATATATATATATGTGTGTGTGTAATCATTTTTAATTCTAAATTACATTTGCTTGAAATGAAAGTAATATTTAACATAAAGCCAGAGAACGATCACTTCGCGAGTCTTTTGCATTAGTTTATATTCTTCTTCTTACGTTCTTCTTTGTATTATTCTTCTTATGTCATTATTAATTTTCTTTAAAATACTTTTATAATCCCTAGGTCGTTACCGATGCCAAGAAAGGGTGCAATTTCGGCGCCATTGTACATGGCCTGGTTAGAAGCACTTACGAGGGATATGCCACCAACAATTTTAGTCCGTGGAAACCACATATCCGTATTAACATTCTATTCATAATCTATTTATAGTTAAATAATGTGATGTAATCACGTAAATGTTGACGCGTCACAAAAAAAATCTGTCTTTATTGAGATATACTTTTCTGACACGGACACACAGTATTCAGGATATTTATGCCAAAATTATTATATCTGTACTTATAAAAGCAAACTAATGATATTTAATTCTATCATTTTGCTAAGTTAGAATTAAGAAATTCTTACGGCTTGCTGTGTACAGCAAGATAACTTTGGTACCTGTAGAACAGTGTTTCCCAACTGTCTCGAATTGCTCAACTATTCGATATAAGATTCGTCGCTGTAATTAATTAAATTGATAATTGCAATAAGAATATAAATCGATCAAATTTTAACAACTTTTTAAAAACTGATTTCATTAAATAGAATAAGAAAACTTTTATTAGAAATAAAATTACAGTACTGATCTGATAATATCTTAAAAGAAATTATTCGATTATAAATAAAATCATATTTTCAGAAAAATATTTCATGTTTTTCAAAAAGTAACATGCCTTAATTAAAAGTAACGTGCCCTTTCTGCAAGCAGCGATTAAATTGTAATTATGAAACACGAATAAAAATTCTTTTGTTAGATAAGAATGTACTTAAGATCACAACGTGAAACACATGATCTAAATAAGTGAGACTGTAGCCAACCATAAACAAACATTTTTAACAAAAACAAATATTGAAAAGAAAATATATAGATTGTAATGTTTCTATAATCGTAATATTTTTGAGGAGAGAAATCTTAGTACCTTTTAAAGTGTAAAACTCTTGTTGGTACTACGTTGGGAAATACTGTTATAGAAATCTTGCAAAAAATAAGTGAATTAAATATCAAAAGATAGATTTCTATAAATTTCTTTTAATTCACTTATTTTTTCACAGATAGTATAGAAAATACAGCATAAAATTTGTTTCCTGCCAAAATATGCGATAGGTTGCAAGCAAATTATCAAGAAAGTGTTTGTCCTACACACTAACTGTTATAGTAATATATAAGTAGAATTATTAATACACTTCTATATATTTAATTGACAAGAAATTTGATTGAGAAGCTATTCAGTATTATATGTGTTATTTGTAATGCACATAATGAATAGAAATTTAATTATTATACAAAAATATAAATTTAAACACAATTAATAATTTCCAATTTACCAATTAAATTCAATGTGCGTGTCACGCAATAGTTTTATAATGTCGAAAAAAGAAATAATGACCAAACCTTTTAAAGCTTTTCATAAATAATTTTCATGTCTATTACAGTCACCGATAATGTTGATCGTTAAAAATGAGTCAAATTTATATAAAATTGCAGGGTATCCAGTGTAATTAAGCAACATTGAACTTTCTACGTAAATTGTCATACAAGTTACATGATATAAAAATTTGTAAGGTATATCAATTTTCAATTATAACTTCGAATTTATCAAAAATACGTACCAATATTAATATATATGAAAAAATAATTTTCAAATATATTCTTAATTTTCCTCTATATTATCGATAACATTATATGTTAATTAATTTCTATATGTATGTATATATAATTTATAATATAATAGAGTCTAATTGCTATTATTTATAAACAGAGTTCAAACTTTAGTAAACTAATTATACAGTAAAATGTAGATTATAATGATAAATATTATGTATATTATAAAAAAATGTGTTTAATTATCTATACATAATTATTCTGCTACTGCAAATGCGTTATGTGTAAATATAACTTCCCATAATAACTTAATCATTTTTACCACATAAAAGTGAAATATATATTTATAAAGCATAATAGGTAATAAGAATTTTAAATATGTATATATTGTATTACTGAACGTAACTTTTAAATAAATACATTCTCACATATATTTATTCACTTTGTTTTATCTGTCTTTTTTTAAAACACAATAAATTTATTATAATATTGATCTTAAAAATCTTTAGATCATCTCTTTTCAAGAAAAATATGAGTATGTATATGTTATTAAATGGTCATAGTCATAAGTCAGTACAATTAGAAAATAATATAAAAATGTTTTATCGAAGAAAGAAATAATGTTAATAAACGATATTATTTTATGAGAATATTTATTTATATAGCAAAAATTGTATGAAAGTTGTATGTAAATTAAGACAAATATAGCAAATATTTATATTTTCTTGAAATTTCTTAAATAGATGTATATTTCAATCCATAGATATGTAATGCATTGTAATCACAAAATATTATATCATATATAATATTATAAGAATATATGTATATACATCTCAGGAATCAATGCTTCGAGTTCGACCTCTTCCACTAAATGAGGAAGTTCTAAAATCCACAATAAAATTGCAACAACAGTCAATGCATTTTCATATATGCATATTTATTTTTTTTTTCTTAACTAATAAAAAATATAATTTTATTCAACAAAAACATGATATTTTACTGTATCTTAATATAATTATAAGTAAATTAAATTAATATTTATATTTTCTTTTTGCATTTTTACATTACTTGTTGCAATAAGTTTCAAAGATCTTGTTAAAAACTGGCTGAATCTGTTCCAACATGTCCGACGTTAACATTCCTCTCTGTTTTAATTTGAAAGCTGATGCATTGCATTCACGAACTAATCTGGATGCAGCATAGCAGGCAATTATTGAGGGCGACAAAGCGCATTCACTAGCTCCTGCGGAGATAGACCACCACCAGAACACAGCTAATGAACCAGACAAGAGATCTCCTTGTCCACCGCATCTCCTTCCAGAACCAGCCAATCCACATGATACAGTTTCAGTACCTTTGTGACCATCCACAATCACATCTTTAGCCCCTTTATGTAGAATTATTACATTTTTTCCAAGAGCCTCTGCTACATGCTTTACATCAGAAACTTTAACTAAGGGAGTAGGTGGGATGGATTTGTCCAATACTGCCTTGACCAAACGACTAAATTCCATTGCATTTGGTGTCAGAATAATTCCTGGATAATCCTTTATAATTTCTGGTTTCTGACAAATCAGGAACAATCCATCTGCATCAATAACCAATGGCTTTCTCATCTCACGACAAATTGATATTAATTCAACAATTGTTTTAAATATCTTTTCATCTCTGCCAAGTCCAGGTCCAATCAGAATAACATGCAGTCGATCGAGCCAAGGTTTTATATACTTTATTGCATCGTACTGATCCAATACTGGATGAACTATTGGTTCTGGGCTAAATGATTTAATAGGAGTGCTGGCATCTCTTGTGCAAAATATATGAACAAGATCAGCACCGGTTCTCAGTGCACTCATACCAGCAAAATATGGTGCTCCTGTATATTCAGTGCTACCACCAAAAATTCCAATTCTACCGTCCTGACCTTTGTATTTGGTATTAACCAGATTTGGTATCACCTTTCTTATTCCTTTCAACATACGCTCATCCATGGATGATGTGGACATTGTGGACATTAACACAAATTTGATATACTTCCTGCAGATTAAATTACAAATAGCAGATACCATACCTCAAGTCAAAAGAAAAATATCTTTTAAAATATACAAGTGTATATTATATAAAAGTTAACTTTTTATAAAGTTGAATAATATTAAATTTTTATAAACTATATTGCTCACCATGTTTTATATATTATTTATATATCTTTTTTTTTGTTACCTGGAATAAGTATCTGCTAGTGTCCTTTTACACAGAAGAGGTCGAACAAGATGTGCAAATATTACAAAACCAAATTTTGTTAATCTTATAATAATTCACAATATACTTTATATCAGAATAAATTTGTTTGTTTTGACCAATATAATTATTATACAATATAATTTATAGCAAATTACAAATTTTGTTCCAAAAAAGTGGCACTTAACATTACTATCGTAATACACAAACACAACTAAAAACAATCGGCGTTTAGAATTGATATATCTCTGTTCAATACGTCCAGCCAATTGGCATAACGATTTGCATTATCGAAAAACTGACGAGTCAGACGTGAAATATCATGCTATCGTGCGTAACCTCAAAACTTGTGCTAGAATCATGTCATGTGCAATAATTTCTGTACACATATTACATTATAATTATCCTTTCTTCGTAAATAATGGTTAAGATATATAATTTCTATTTTATCAGACTGAATACTTCTAATATACTCTTTGTATATATAAATACGAGATATTGTTGGAGGTTACAATGAAACTATCTACATATATAAAACGTGGGCTCTGTAAGCCGGGGGATAATTAAAGAACTTTGATGTATCCGATTATCGGTAACATGATAATTAAAATCATACATATCAATTTCTTTTAACCATATGTAATGTATCACACTCAATTAACTCAACACTTAACACTCAATTAAAATAATTAACACAACAAAAAAGTAAATTATTCATATTAATTAAAAAAATATTTTTAAGAATAACGATTTAATGATTCTGATTTAATAATTTTAGAAGTAAGTGATCAATATTGTAATATTAATTCAAGAATAAATTTGCAATTTTTTCTGCAAAAAATTTCTTGCATGTGATATTTTCTCATAATTATATTAACTTAATTATACTGACATTATTCCAGATAGCATATATAAAACATCCTAAAGACATCTTGGATATCTTCAGAATGTCCTGAGGCAATTCTCAGGATATTGAGATATCCCTAAGATGTCCCTAGTTTTGTGCTATGTGGGATTATACTGGCAAATATTTTATACTTATCCGTTTTAGATTATTACTTTAGTTCAATCTCAAGATAGCAATCATAACGCTTGCAATGAAATACCTATTCATAGCGATAAAAGTAAAATAATTAACAAAAACAGAATTGTAGAAACTATTAAATTTAAAAAAATTCGCTACTCGAAATATGTTTTGTGTTCTAATTTATTTAAATTATGTAATATTTAAATGTTTGCATTATGTAAATTAAACGAATATTTTAATATTATCTTACTTAATTTTTTTTAATTTTATGATATTCCTTCAGTTGAAACCACCCAGTATTTCCAATGTTTAATAAAATGTTTCTGATTATTACAATTATGCTAGACGTAAAAATGCAAATGTATCGATAAATAATATTTAGTTCAAAAATAGAAATAGATGATAAATTTCTTTAAGAAGCTTCAATGTCTTTTCATTCTAATAGATATTATGTATTTTTATACAATAATTTTAATTCTATACCAAATTGTATATTGAATACTGATTTTTACTGATTTCAAAAGATGTAAGGTTCAAATTATATTATTACTAATATTTAAAAAGTTACATTAATTTAGTTTAGCTTAATCATTTTTAAGTATGGATAAATTAATGACAATATATCATAAGAAATTTATAAGAATATCAATCAATATCATAAGAATTTTCAAGGATTTAAATAAAAAAAAGATGCAGTAAAATAAACTCACAGTGATGCAGAAGATGTAGAAGATGCAATAGATGCAGAAGATGCAATAGATGCAACCGTTTGAAATCTTTAAAGATCTGAAAACGTATAAAAGATTCATAAATATAAAAAATATCACAATATATAAAATGTAAATAAAAAAATACCAAAAGAGCTAAATAAAATAAACAAATTTTAAATGCAACAAAAAGATTTATATGCAAAAATTAAATTTATATAAAATACAAAAAAGAAATATTCAAATATTAAAATCAAAATTAAAAAAAAATTATTTAATATAAAAAATACCAAAGAACAGTTATAAATAATTCTAAAAAAATTAATTATATGAATATAATGAAGTCTCTCACCAGTCGTTGTCTACAGCATAACCCCTATAAACAATGAGTCTCCACTAATCCTTGGCACTAAACACTCACTCGCGAAAACCAATTGCGAAAATGCGTTAATGAACGCCACGCGATAATGATTCGACATTCCCGGTATCAAAAATCGTGTAAGAAAAATTCGACACTCCCGATGCATCATACTTGTGGAGCAAAACTTCGGCACTTGCGATATATTAATATTAACATGATAAAAATTCAATATTTTATATAAAGGAATATTAAAAACGCATTCGTTCAACTCGCAAACAAAATTGATGACGATTCTTATTGCAGAACAAACATAAACTGTAAATTAATTTCAAAAGATTTATTCGCGTCGCATGTTCCAACATGCTCCAATCTATAGTATTACGTTATGTATACATAGATATACTATAGATTGGAACATATTGGAGCATGTTAGGGCATGCGACGAAAACTTAAAATAACGATATCGAAGGTACTTTGCTCATGATTCCAAATAAAGAATTATAACCTATTGCTACTAGGCCATCGATCATGGAATCGCACGCGATTTATTACGACGAATACAAACCCTGCACGAATTGTACGATTTATATTTTGATGCGTCTGATAAACGATTGTCTTATGACGTGGATACAGTACGTATTTACTAGTGCACAAACTTTTGAAAAGAGAGAAAGGAAAAAAATATAAACATTGCGCGTAGTCATTTCTCGTACCACCAAGTTCCTGGAATCGCGCCGCCGACTGTATTTGAATGCGCGTGAAGGGCGTACACTATTTGCGGATTCGCAAACAACTTCGGGCGATAAAATATTCTGTGCTATTGAAAATTTTCTTACGACTTTTATCCCGTTACATTCTCTACAAATAAATACATATGTATATCGATAATTGTGTAATTATTATTGTACAAGCATTATTGTAAGCCTAAAAATCTGATAAAGAGTAATAACTATTATTTGAATCTAGAAAAATATTACCCGTAGAAATATCTCTCGTCAGCGAAAATTCACAACCACGAAGACTTGATTTCATAGTAAGATAATAATTAATCAACTCCCTTCTTGACAATAACTAATATAATAAAGATATATAATAATTAATCAATTTTAAGTCGATCAAAATCCGTTTAAACAAAAACGTTATGTGACTCTTGCTAGAAAATAACCGTTATAGAGCTCAATGCGCACGCATCACGTACAACTTTCTAATATTAGGCCGGTTTTACAATACGTTGCAAATGCCCCGTCGCCAGTCGCGCATGCTCCGTCTTACCAAAATAAACGAGAAATAGCGCGTTTCAATTGGTGGTTGCCATCCTTGGCGACTGGCGACTGGTCTTACGGTTATAGCGCACAGATCGTTAAAAATATGAGAGTTCTCTCTTTTGTGTTGAATATACCATGCTCTAATATCGACCAATAGGAACAAAGCAAGAAAGAGCACCTTTTGGAGAAAGATTGGCTACGGCAAGGTGCGTGTTTTTGAGAATTTTACATCAGTAGAACGTAATTTGACTATAAAATTTGTAATAAAATATGAAATATTTGCGCCATATAATGCCTAAAACGTTGTAATACGTAAAACATATAATAATTTTTCCGGATTGCGTATTCACATGTTGATTAAACTAGATTTAGTTCGGCTTCACAATTGTTACACGTATTAAAATGTTGTTTATGTCATGTTGAAAAACAATTTCCAGTATTTGCAGATTCTAGTTTGAAATTAATATTTTTAAAGAGTATTTTGACACAGAATTTTATACAGATATTTACGAAGTTTTTACAAATAATATTCTAACCTTAAAAGTAATAACCTAACCTTATAATCTTTTTAGATGTTAACAACGAATGCAAAGATAATTAAAGGCGGCGGGACTGAGCCCGACCAATTCGAGGTCAGCGTTTCTCAAGCTCTCCTTGAGTTGGAGATGAATAGTGACCTCAAATCGCAGTTGAGAGAACTCTACATCACTAAGGCAAAGGAGATCGAAACAAACAACAAGAAGGTAACATTTGGTTTACCACAGTCTATTGGTTACTTATAGCTATATTTTCTTTTTTATATAACTTGCTTGCTTTGTTATCATATAGAAATTGTAAATCTTAACTTTCTGTGCTTAAACTTAAATTTTTCCTTTTAATAACTTTGTTAATGTACATTTGTACTTTTAGTTAATTTTGCTTGCTACATACATATATTACATATATTATCTCTTGCAAGAATTATATAATCATCTTTTTTACAGTCGATCATCATATATGTGCCCATGCCAAAGTTGAAGGCATTCCAAAAAATTCAGACAAGGCTAGTGCGCGAACTAGAGAAAAAGTTTTCTGGAAAACATGTTATGTTCATTGGTGAACGTAAAATTTTGCCAAAGCCAACAAGGAAAACGCGCACTAAGAACAAGCAGAAACGTCCTAGAAGGTAAGAAAATAAAAATAAATAAATATTTGTTTTTCTTAAAATAATTTTTCTTAAATTTAAAGAAAAAATATAATTATATCAATAGATCCACAATAGAAAATATCAATACAGAATCTTACTAGCATGTACAAACAATTAACATTCCATATTTTTATTTAGTCGTACTTTGACATCTGTTTATGACGCAATATTGGAGGATTTAGTGTACCCTGTTGAAATAGTTGGCAAGCGCATCAGAGTCAAACTTGATGGCTCGCAGCTTATTAAAGTTCATCTTGACAAAAATGAACAGACAAACATTGAACACAAGGTATATTTATTTATTTTTTTGTTTGATATTGATGGTTGTAACAAAGAACTAATTTTCATGTATATTTGGACAGGTTGATACGTTTGCTTCAGTATACAAACAACTGACTGGGCGGGATGTCACATTTGAATTCCCTGAATCTTATGTATGATAAATATGGAATAAAAGTTTGAACCACTAATTGTATTACTTGTTGAACTTTATTTCATGTTATTTTTTAATAGAATTGCAACAGTTATTGATTTGACTATTAGGTTAATATATTAATATAGAAATATATATAAAAATTTCAGATACAATAATAAGAAAGAATCGATTAAAAGTCAGAAAAGCATACCTATTAACAAAAATATGTTAATATATGTATATTACATGGAATTTAACAATGTTA